CAGCGAGACTCCAACTCAAAAAACAAACAAAAAATACTTTCAGGCTGGGAACGGTGGCTCACACCTGTAATCCCAGCACTTTGGGAGGTCGAGGCGGGCAGATCACGAAGTCAAGAAATCAAGACCTTCCTAGTCACCATGGTGAAACCCCATCTCTACTAAAAATACAAAAATTAGCCATGCCTGTACGCTCAGCTAGTCAGGAGGCTGAGGCAGGAGAATCGCTTGAACTCGGAAGGCAGAGGTTGTAGCGAGCCAAGATCTCGCCACTGCACTCCAGCCTGGCGACAGAGCAACACTCTGTCAAAAAAAGGAAACAAGAGAGGAGGGGAGGGCAGCGGAGGGGAGGGGAGGGGAAGGAAGGGGAGAAGAGACACTTTCAGCTGGGGAGCTGCTCAGATATGGTCTAAATGGCTGGAGAAATTGAGACAATTACTTGCATAAATCAAATCCATCCTCTCATTCAATTCATTTGAATATATTCCGTCATTAAATAAATATTTTTTAAAGAACCTATTACAGACTCAGTATTATGCTGAGTGCTGAAGATAAAATGGTGAGCAAAACCAAAGAAAGTCCTTCCCCTCGTGAGTAACAGCTTAATGGTAACAGCAGCTAACATTTATCCCTTGCTTATTATGTGCATGAAACACTTTTCATGACTCCTGTCATGTAACTTTCAGCAAAACAAATATGAGGTATCTATTAGTACAAAAACACACCATAAAGAGACAAAAGGTGTATTTGTGTGTCTGTCTGTCTTAAATAAACAACCCTCTTCCTGCTTTTCCCCAGAATATATGAACTCAATCTAGTTCCAGAACAGGGCTGGGTGCAGACGGCAGGTGATTGCTTTGCCCTGCTTTGTATTGAAATCTGTATTGCCCAGGAGGAGCTCATTAGCACCAGTAGACACATAGCCACTTGCCCATGTTTTCTCAGCTATTTAGCAGACGCAGGATTTGAACCCAAGTTTTTACACTCAGGAGCTTATGCTCTTTCTTACTCCACTGGCTCACCTGTGTATCCCTACACTCTTCTGCCCGTAAATACAGAAGAAGAATAAGAGAGGTGATAAGGCGAAAGTATCTTAACAGTTGCGTCAATTCTCTTTTGCTTCGTGAGTTCTGGATGGAACAAAGGACAACTGTAATAATTCTTTCTTGCCCTTCTCTCTAAATATGTAGTAGCCTTACTTGAGAATAGGCGATAATGGCAAATTTTTAGAAAAAGAATCTACCTGGCCCATCATTAAATGGGAAACAAATGATTTTTAGAAAAAAAAATTGTTATAATGGAGATTACAATAAGATGCATACAGAAGATTCCCATTGTGCCATAGTCTCACTTAAATCACCAATATGCATTTATATTATTATGTCATTAATATTAACTCATTGAATATCATTTATTGAGAATGGACTATACGAAGAGCTCTAATGTTAAGAAAAAGGGCAGAAATGAGTAGAGGGAGGAGTCTAAGGCAACACCCAAATCTTTGACTTGAGCTGCTATGCGTCCTGAGGCCACAGGAAAAAAAGCTGGTTTGAGATTTATTGGAAGGTTTTTTCTTTTCTTTCTTTCTTTTTTTTTTTTTTTTAATCTTTCTGAGTTTTTTTTTTTTTTTTTTTTTTTTTTTTTCACATCGAGGGTATTTTGTTTTGTTTCCATCTGTTGCTCTAGATGAAGCACTGTGCTCATTGGTGGTTGACAGTGTCATAACCCTTCTCTGATTATCTCGATTTTAAAAGCCCAATTAAGGAAGATAAAATAAGTGTTTTAGAGATTTCTGCCATCCTTACAGACCCTTACCATCCCTAAGGATACTTCTTCTGACTATTAAGTTAATTATATTTTAATTTTTTTCTCTTTTCAGTACAATTATGTTAGTTTGTGTTACTGTGGCCATGCCTCAGTGGTCTACCCTTCCTTCACACTACTTTTCTACAGAAAAACAAAAGGTGCGTTTATACCATAATTTAGTTCAATTCGGCAGTAGTTACAAATGATGTTACTCAAATCTATCGGGAAAAATGATTCATCATAATTTCAAAAATGGAGGAAAAAGGAATGTGGGGAAGTTAAATATCATTGAATAAAGATACTTTGAAAAGCTGTCTGTCTTCATAACTGCTACAAGTGTCCCTTTATAAGTTGATTTTATCCAAGTGTTTTTTAAAACATTGGTCTAAACTTTTCAACTAAGTTTACTTTTTATTCCTGCTGCTTGTAATTTCAGAGACCTGTATGGTTCGATGCATTCTCTGACGTTATTCTGAGAAGAAACAACTAAATGCATACTGGAAGACATTTTGCTGTTCTGCATGTTGTAAATTCGGTGTCACCACTGCACAGTTACAGAATGCACAGTTCTCTGCTTCGCTTTCTCATCTCATTTCTGACCCCTCACCGTCTTCTCCTGCCCTTGAGTCTGATCCTTTTCTGACTTTGAGCCTGGCACCTTGCTGGTGCTGGCAGTTATCAAGAAGGCATGGGCTGGGAGCCAGACTGAGCCTTGCAAAGGAGGCTCAGGGAAGCCGACTGACATGGGCTCAATAATTAGCACAATGCTGGACACAATGCTCAATAATGAGCTGCTGGGTTAATGGATGTCTGTGCTGGTTAGCTGTAGTAAACACTTCAAGTTGATGATATGGGGCTGATTGAGCAATATAAATGAAAATAGAGGACTGACCAGCTCTCTGGTCCTCCAAGGTCAATAGAACATATTTAAAGCCTTCTTGTAGAGATATACAAGTTTTGTTCATTTTTAACATTCATGTCAATAGTTTAAGCAATGTGAAAACATAAACATTCTTAAGCATTGTTTTTTTGGTAGAGACCAGGTCTCACTCTGCTGCCCACCCTGTAATGCAGTGGTGTGATCCTATCTCACTATAACCTTGAACTCCTGTGCTCAAGCAATCCCTGCTGCCTCAGGCTCCTGAATACCCTGGACTAAAGGTGAACACCACTATGCTTGGCTAATTTTTTATTTTTATTTTTGTAGAGATAGGGTTTGCTGTGTTGCCCGAGCTTGTCAATCATTTTATGTATTGTCTTGAATAATAAAAGATACTTGCAAAGAGAATAATAACAGGTAGCAAATTTTAAGACATAGAATTAGAGTAACACATAATTTTATAATATTAAGAACCTCAGTACCAAAATCTTAGCTATTTATAATATGATAGTCCTTGATGTAGCAAGGACTATCTAAATTTGACATTTTCATGACTAAATAATTTGTGGACTCTACAATGTTCTCAAAATTCCTAGTTAGTGCTTTTTAATTGATTTCTTTAGACTTTTTCACATCCAACTATATTATAAATGCAAAATGAATCTATTAACATATTTTATAATGTGTCTTTCGGTGCACCTTTTAGATTTACTTTGATTTCAGAAAGCTAAGAAAGAAAAAGGCATTTTGCTAGCCACACCCAATCGTATCTGCATAGGCATAGCTATATAGACACCCATAAAATTATGCATAAACCGCAGGCTTTCAAATGAATGAACAAATCCCACAGTCTCAGCAACACAGGGCAACCTCCACCCTCTGGCATATTCATGTGTCCATTTCACTGTCAAATTCTTATCATCTAAATCACTGCTCCTCAGGGGGCATCCACAACTCTGCAATATTACTGTTCTCAGAGAAAATGGTTATTTTTTAAATTTACCATTTTTGAAAATAAATTTTCAGAAACCTTTTTAATAGAATAACAAGTTTACTCTCTTCAGCAGCAAGTCTGCCGAAGTACATTATTTGTCCAAAAATAGTTGAAGGCCACATTGACTGAGGAAGGGATGAATACTCATACTAATGAGCTTTCTGTACCCTTCTTGTGGAAATTTTCTCTGAATTTGCTGGGATTTGCTGCTGGGTCATGCAGAACCTCCTTGGAATGTTATAGCCTGGGAAATGTAATTACCCCAGGAGGTTTGATTTTTCTCACAATTTCTGGTGGCAGAGGATAGAATAATCAAGTCCTCACTCTGAAAGAAGAACTCTCTCACATGCCCGTCAGGGTGGAAGGGCTATCATTACAGAACGATAGCATTTTCTTCTGTTTTTCAAGCTGGTTTATCTCCATCCCACTACTCAAACCTTGGAATTTAGTTTACCTTAGTTCTCTGTTTTTCTGTACGTAGAACTACAACATTCAACTCAGCAAACACTCCCTTCATGTACAGATTTTCTTTACCAGCAGTATTTCATGTGGAAAACATTAATGGGAGATTAGTGACAAAAAATTACTTTGGGGGGGTCCATTGATCTTTGCCTTCTAAAATTTATAAACTGCTTTATATAATCATCCACTGTTGCCTTCTTTACCTTCACTATCATCTTCCACATATGAAAAAGTAACAAGAATTGGGACTGAAAAGAAATAGTAAGATGGTTCAGACTGAACGAAGCCATTTCAGTTTGTGTGTGTGTGTGTGTGTGTGTGTGTGTGTGTGTGTGTGTGTGTGCGTGTGTGAGGATTTCATCATAAACTGCTTCCATGACTAAAATCATCATAATTACCAAGCAATGGCTTTTTCCCAGAGTTACATTAGAACAGAAAAGAAGGCATTTATCATGCAGTGGCATATCTCGGGGACAGCTCACCCTTGTGAACCACGTCTGCCCTTTCTTCCTCCCTCTTTTAATTAACATTTGGAAAAGAACAGTGATGTTAGCCGATAGCAGAGCTGGGAAGAGAGACTCAGAAAGTGATGTGGGCTCTGTCAATCTTCAACCTTGCCAAAGAGGACACATTAAATTGTTTTCCATGAAAAATCAGCCTTTGTCAACACAAATTCAAAGCAATATGACCTTGAGATATATATATATATATATATATATATTTTCTAGGTAAGAATAGCACAGACTAAAGCATCCTGAGAAAATATGTGAATGAAAAAAAAAAAAGAAAAAAGAGGAAAAGCATACTAAAAGAAGATGTTAAATCCAGTAAAAGTTGTCACGAGCACTTTCTGCCACTTACCTTTTCTGCTGACTGGGCTGTACCAAAAAAGATGGGAATGAAAGCTAACCAAATGATGCAGGTGGTATACATGGTAAATCCAATAGGTTTGGCTTCATTGAAAGTCTCTGGGACACCTCTGGTTTTAATGGCATAAACAGTACAAGTGACCATCAAGAGGATACTGTATCCAAGTGAACAAATGAGTGAGAGATCAGAAATGTCACACTTGAGCACTCCCCTGGCCTTCTCTGGATCTAGTGTCCGCTGCTCCCCATAGTCAATTATGATGTGTGGGGGATCCACAACAAACCAGACAAACACTCCAAGAAGCTGGACGGAGATGAGGCTGAAGGTGATCACCAGCTGGGATGCAGGACTAATAAACTTGGGTGCTGTGACAGACTTCTTCCCCTGCTCAAATATTCGGTGGATACGGTTTGTTTTGGTCAGAAGGGCTGCATAGCTGAAACACATGCCAAGTCCTAGGAAGATCCGTCGGAAGGAGCAGATAATTGTATCTGGTGCTGCAATCATTAAAAAGGTGATTGAATAACAGAGAAAAATCCCTGTCAGGAGCACGTAACTGAGTTCACGTCCTGAAGCCCTCACAATAGGTGTGTCATTATAGCGGACAAAGGTCACAATCACAAAGGTGGTGGCGATGATTCCCAATATTGCAACAAACACAGGCACCACAGCCCAGGGAGAATGCCACTCCAATTTGATGATGGGGATAAGCTGGCAGCCCGTGCGGTTGATGTTCGGTCTCTGATCCAGAGGGCAAAGTTCACAGGAGAGCTCATCCACCTGGTAGTTGTAACCTTCACAGCGTTCACAGTGCCAGCAGCAAGGGACCCCTTTCACCGTTTTCTTCCTCTCCCCCGGCTTACATGGCAGGCTGCAGACAGATGCTGGGTGAGTGTGTTCTCTGTTAGCCCACTGCATGTCTTCCACCTGTGGGTATAAAAAATTAATGAGCCTTCCATTTTTCCACAATTTATAATATCCTAATCCTAGCCATGGGTTTGTAATAAATCACAGAATGCTGACAGTACAAATACAGTTTACCATAATAAGAGCCTAGTTTTTTTCCCTGATATTGACTTTATGAAAGTGTTAAGTGATTGGATCCAATATATCATTCACATCATCAACTTGATGAGTGTCATTAGTTTCCATTTACCTCCTCCATTGCTGACCAATGTGACATTTGGAGAAAGATTTATTGGTCTAAACAGCTTTAAAACTAAAAAATATACAAAAATAATAATAAGAAGCCCTGTGGAAAGATGCTTTAGAGTTAGTCACAAATATAAATGCCACAATCCCTGAAACACTGGGTTAGGATATAAACACATATAAAAGATGATCCATGTCTTTTTCTCATACTTAAGGAAATTCAAATCACACTGTATCAATTTCAAAAGGAAATGGCAACATGAGTTACATTAATCTCTGAGTTTCCTCATGTGATCATAGAGGTGACTATATCAATGTGTTTTGCCCCTGTTTAGGCTTGAAATATACTTTTTTCTTCTTTCTTGCATTTCCAGGTTCTGCAAAACAACATGCTGAATGAGAAAACTTGATGGTAATGGTTTTCATTGAATGAAAGTAGTTCTATGGTGATTTAAAGCACGGAAATTAGTGCGAATGAGACTTTCCCTCCTCTGCTTAGTATCTGCCTCAGGGCCTTAAAATCCCACCTTATGCTTTCAATAAATTATAGAATAATTCTATTGAAATACAAGCAGTTCTTGCAAGATATAGTGCCAATCATTGATCTCTTACCTCAAATTTGTTTTTCTTATTAGACATACAGTAATTTTAGCAGAATGCTAATAGGATAAAACTGAAAATTGTGGATGACAGGAGACTACTTACTATGAAAAGCAGCTACTTTATAAAAGGTAAGCTCTGTGAAATGAGCAGTTTTTTCACTGGAACAGTGACTGGCATACAAGTTGCCCTTAATACATATATGTTGACTTCATGAGGGAGAAAGGATGAGAAAGGCACCACAGCAGAGCCCTGAGGAATAAGGAGACAGCTTAGAAGTACTGGGATTTGGAAATGGAGGGTGCTTAAAGAGGCATAGAAAAGGGAGATGAAGGACTGTTTCAGAAAAAAAGAACAACTTATTCTCATAAGTCCATCTTTACTAATAATCCAAAAGAGTTCCTATACTCTGTGGTACTCAGCCTCCACCATGGCTCCCAATAACCTCACCTCCAAAAATTCATGTATTCTGTGGTCCCCTCCCACTTTGAATAGGGCTAGTCTGTGTAAACAATAGTATATTCCAGAAATGATGGTATGTCTCTTCTGAGGCCAAGTCATAAAAGGCACTGGTTTCAACCTTGCTCTCTGTGGGATAATTCACTCCAGTGGGAACACTCCAGTGTCACTGATGTGGGACAGAGGAGCCCCAAAGTGGGACTGAGCCTGCAAGAAGTCCTGGCTTTACCCAGGAAAGAATTCAAGGGTGAGCTGACAGCTAGAAGAATTCAGTGTTGCAGTTCTAGACAGTGTTATAGCTCCATGACTTTTCTTGCAGAGCAGAGTTAACCTATAGGCAGAGAGCAGCAGCTTAAGGCAGTTCTGCAATCATGTTCAAATCTACTTTCAATTGCATGCAGAGTAAGGGGTGGATAATACAAAAATTTCTAGGAAAAGAGCAATAACTACTGGGTTGCAGATCATTGCCATGGAAAGAGGCTGTAATGGCCATGGCAATGGTCTTATGGGAAGCTGCTTCTGTCCTGTCCATTTTTTAGCTAGTCCTCAGTTTGGTCCGCTGTCCAAGTCCCACCTTCACAGCCAGGCCCCTGCTACCTCATCTTGAAAACTCTCAGTAGCTCTGTGAAAAGGATAGAGGCCTCCTGCCCACAGCAAGCAGCACTTCCCATGCGTGTGAAGGAGCCACCCAGAAAGTCACCAACTGTCTCCAGTCAGTTCTTCAGATGACATCTAAAGGACATATTGAATAAAACTTCATGATAGACCCTGAGCCAGGAAAACCCAGATAAACTGTTCCTGAATTTCTAATCTATAGAAATTTTGTGAGATGATGTTTACTGTTTTAAACTGCTAAATTTTAGAGTTATTTGTTCTGCAACAATAGAAAATGAATGCAGCTCAAATTAAACTTAGCTACTTGGTTGCCACCTTCATTTTAATATCAGTGTAGTTATCTACTGAGAAGGCACACCCAGCGACACCTACTGTATACGTTGGAAACAGTCCAAAGTGTGTAGCTTTAGCAATATTCCTCCTCCACCTCCCGGGTTCAAGCAATTCTCCTGCCTCAGCCTCCTGAGTAGCTGGGACTACAGGCACACGCTGTAATGGTCATGTTAATTTTTGTATTTTTAGTAGAGATGGGGTTTCACCATGTTGGCCAGGATGGTCTCGATCTCTTGACCTCGTGATCCACCCTCCTCAGCCTCCCAAAGTGCTGGGATTACAGGCTTGAGCAACTGCGCCCAGCCTCATCATTTTTATGGTGGCTTACTCTTTGGCAATCAGGTGACTGAAATTTTTCGCATGAACGATTCCTTAAGAGTGCTTTCCTTTCTTAAATCTGGGGTGAATGGTTGAGGCCAGAGAACTGTAGTCCCCAACCTCAAGCCTTTTAGAGGGCTGTCTAATCTCCTCAAGGTAGAGTAGAGACTCTGTGTGTCTTTAATTTCAGACATCCTCCCTTGAGGATGTAGATGCTACTTCATCTGTCATATGTCATAAGGGCATTCAAGACTATTAGATCTATCCTGTCAGCTCACCACAAAGAAAATGTAATCTATTATAACCCTCTAGTTTCTTATTAGGTTTTAATGACTTTAAAACATTTTATTTTATTTACTTACAGGATTGCAGGAAGAAAGAAATAAGGGTAAACTGGAAGCACAGTGATTTCTTTGAAAAATACTGAGAAAGAAATGAAATGCTCCACTGTGTGCTTTAGGTATTAACTTTATACCTTAATGGACTCTTATAAGAAAGTACATTTTTGAAGGTTATATTTAAAAGTTAATTATTGTAGAAACAAAACTGCATTTTTGTTGGGAACTTCTATAGATTTACAAGTTCTTGCTCAAAAAAAAAAAAAAGGCAGCAAAAAATTATTGGAAACATTAAACTTCAAGAAACCTTAAAGGTCGGTTTCTCTAACCACGTGTCAGAACCTTTAATTCTTAATATGTTTTATTTCTCAGAAGAACATAAGATATGTTATAAAAGAAATATACCTATTCTAGGTAAGTCTTACTATATAGGATAAGTATTTATCATTATGAGCTAAATGTGAAATTTTCCTTGAAAATTTTTTAATGTTTTGAACCAGCAGAAAAATGTTTTTCATAAATTAAAAATAAAGTTAAAGGAATATGAAAAATACCACAATTTTTAACAGCAGTTAATTTTCTTTAAGTAAAAGAAAATTAAGCAATATATGTGATATTTTTATTATAAAGGAGATTGTAATGTTATAGTTTATAGATTATAACATTTTACTAAATATTTTAATTTGCATCCTAAATATACCTGACATCATTTTTTATCAAGGAAACTATTTAAGTTAAACTATACTGTGAGTCGATATCATAGCTTAAGTCTGAAAACCAACTAATATTCACTTCAAGAAAGGACAAATAACAAATGCTTGAATAGGATCTTACAAATGCAATAATATTTGAGACTAATAACTTATTTTACACAGTTGCTAAATGATGATTAAAACTAACACTATTTGAAAGTAAATTAAAACTGCCTGATTTCCACAACAGTTACAAAGCATAAACAAAAAATATTCAACCCTTGTGTACTGCTATATTAACAAATTATGCCATCTTTCATTGTAAGTATGAAGAGATGCCTCAACCATATATTCTTAAAATTTGCTTTCCTCGCCTTTGGTATTATTCTTATATTAAGATGTTCTCAGTCTAAAATACATAGTATAACAAATGGAAGATAGTTATATAGATAGATCTTCCAGGGACGAAACAATAGCCCATTCTTATCTTGACAATGTTTACCAATAGTGATTGATTCAATAGGTTTCGATTCAGTGCGTTTCAGAAAATGTAAGTCATCAGCTGGTTTCTGCTGTCAAATCCTGTTATTATTGCAGACAAGTACACAAATAATCACGAAACCAGAGTTTCTGGGTGAGTGTGCTTGCATTTTTAAATTTGCTATCTTTTCAGAAAAGTCAACTAAGAGTACTGTTTTATAAACTCTTTAAAAAGAATATAATTTTTAAGGAATAATTTTCTTCTGTGTAGTTTTAATAACTCCTGAAGCAAGGATTACAAGAATGTTGAACAATTAAAAGCCCCATTATAATTAATAATTTTCAGTATTCACTACAAAATTACCAGCCAATCTAACATCTTTAATACAATGCTTTTTTGAAATATCAAGTGGTATCTTGTTAATACAAGATGTGGAAAAATTTTAAATACAATGTCTACATATAACTTATATTTAGTCATACCATTCTTAATATGTTTCTTCTTGCTCTATATGTAAGCATAGTATTAATAATTTTTTTGTTGACTAGTTTGACACCCTGATGTCCATCCAAAACTCAACATATTTGACTTATGTAATGGAAGATTCCATGTGCAAATACTTCCAGTGACACTAATGATTATTTTTAAACCATTACTCATTAAATTTCATATAGTCGATAGGCTTTATAAATGCATAAAATCTGCATGGTTACTTACAATTTCAAAATTTAGTATATTTTGCAAATCACATGATTCACACGTGAATGAGTACATGTTACACAGTTAATTTGATAACAGAACACAAAATTATATAATTATATGTATTTATATATGTGTGTATATATATCTTCCTTAATATTTTGCATGTCCTTTGGTTCATGTACAGCTTTAAGTGACCACAAAGAAAACAACTTTTTTTCCTTCTTCAAAGTG